GTGCCTTGCCCAAGGACACAAGCAACTTACACAGCGAGAGTTTCGAACCCCTGACCTCAAGGTTGGGAGTCCAAGCCACAATCGATGTGCCAACCACTTCCACAGTACAGTAGTTCAGTTGGCTGGCAAAAAAGGAGTACAGTGGTGGAGCACGAGTAGTAGTACTATGAGCTGAAATTTAGTTAATAATTAATATTGTAAAACCAGGTTATGTGGTAATTATTATTGTTTCAGACTAGAGAGAGGGATGAGATCATCAGTGGCTAATGGGGAAAACCTGGATGAAGCTAGCGACCTTCACCCTACAGAGGGTCAACAAATTGTAGACAAGAACTGTAAACAATATTTAACAAATGCATGGCGACTTCGATCCAAACTTTATGCAACCTGATAGTACCGCTAATATTTTTGTAAATACTGACCTCATGTTAACAGTTACAGTAATGTTTAATAGTTGTACCGTATTTACTGATGTAAATATGTATTTCTTTGTTGTATTACTTTACATTTGCTATGTATTTTCATTATTTTCAATTGTTTAATTTTCAAGTCTAATTAAGGTTCCTTCAAAAGATAATCACGAGTGATCCTTAGTTGTTATAACGACCCTTTGTGATTACCTTATGAAACATTAGTTAAGAATATTTATTTACTGTATGTCTGTGGTAGTGTACAGTATATATCTGGGCTCGTGATTGTGTGTATATATGCTTGTATGCGTGTACTGTATGCAAGTACGTACTGTGTGTATGCATGCATGTATGTGTATGTATGTATATAATGTATAAAGGCCTATTTACATAATTTTTGCTTTCTTTGTTTTGCATTTAGTTCTTTTTTCCTTTTTTTTATTTGAATTTTATTAATGTATTTGACTTAGTTAAGATTTTTGTTTTGTATATTATGGATGCACCACTCGGAAATGAGCAAGTGCCACTGATTCAAAAGTCAATCCTAATAAATATCAAATAGCTAATGATAGCTGATGAAAATTAAAAATCCACTTAAAGCAGAACACATATTTCACTATCAGAAAATGATACTGAGTTTTTAGTAACCTTCATAATCTGCTATAAAATGTTTGTTCTCATTTCTTATGTCTATTTAATTTGTGAGAGTTGAAGTATCACAGAATTAAAAATATTTAGATTGTGACAACGCAAAAGCGCATCAAGGCACGATAGCGCATCGCAGTTAAGATCCACGATGGAAATATGAATTTTCTTGATGACCATTAAGTGGCAGTACATTGCATACCTGTACAGCGATCATCAAAGCTAAAAAGCCGGGCACTCACGGCACCCAACGGTTGTTGGCCACCGACAATCAGCAGATGGCGCAGCGTCGTCTAGCGCTCACAGGAAGCAGAATTGGATCTGTTGTACGACCGTTGTAAGGCACAGCGAGTGCGCGGCTTAACTTGTTACCACCATGTTTACTTTGGTGCCACATTAGAAATGTTGCTAAAACACTGATTTTGACGAAGAGGCAAACAGTCAGAGTACTCCAAAGGCGTAACTGATTCATACAAGTAAAAACTATAGAACTTTTTAACCTTTCATTAACCACTAATTTTATTTTTTTATTTTATTTTATTCAACTTATAAGGCAAGAACAGAACAGGTGAACAAGCACCTCTACAGAGCCGTCTTACCACCGGACAAAAATGAATAAATAAATAATCAAATAAATGTAAAAAAGATAAGGATTCAATTAGAAAAAAAAAAAATTTTTTTAGTGACTGTTCCCTCAGGGCATTCTGACAAAAGAGTTGACCTTACTGTATAAGGCACTGCTGATTTTTAAGCACATTTACTCAAACTACTGTAAATATTTGGCAATGGAAAACAAAATTATATATTAATTTCATAAAGCATAAAATTCCCATTAGGCATAATTCCTAAGGGAACACCAGTAGTTGCCATGAAAGACTTTCTGTTAACCATATACTTATCATTGCAATGCATTGTGATGCATTTTGGTGTTTGTAGCATGTTCATCCGAGTGAAAAGTGTCTGTATTAGTAGGTTCTGTTGACCAACAAACACATTTCAGCTTCGGCAGTGTAATACAAAGACTGGTACAGCTGGTGTTGTAATAATAATATCTGAAGAGTCGTTTGTGTTTAAAACAATCCTTTCTTTGCAATACATTTACTAGATGGAAATTACAAAGTACTGTAGAAAAAGCATTAAAAGACAATAATTTCTTTTTACTATTCAAATATGAATAAAATATTAGTCAATAACAATCCTTACTAAAGTAATCATCAAATTTAATTTAAAAGAATGGTGCAGCTAGTAATCAGAGAGAGTTTCTGTAGGGAATATTTAATTACTTGAACAATTTTTATTAAGTAAATGTAAATTTGAATTAGAAAATATTTTCTTTGCCAATTAGCCACATTTATTAATACTGTTCCTACTAACAGTATATACTGTGTACTGTACAAACCTGTGAATTGAGTGGTAATCAATTTAAGCTTTTATAATAAAAAGATTAACGACTAGAAAAAGTGGACTATATTTTAAAGACATTATACTGTAGGAGGAAATTCAATTCAAAAATACAATGACAAATCATGTGGGAACCAACAGAAAGTAAATATTCTCTCCAATAACAAAACCAGTCTAGATACCAAAATAAAGAGCCTGTAAGTAATCTTCCTACAGTACTAAAAACACTGTAACAGTACAGTGATGTAGAAGAAGCCCAAGAAGGGTCCGGATCATATCAGCCTCACTATAATTGTGTGCTACATATGTACCAAAAATTGATGGCACTGCCACCTCCGGATCTAGAGACGGGCGAAATTGGCTACCGTCTGAGGTAAATTTGAATTTTCTTTATTCAATTTGTTTATTCAAATATTTAGGGAAAGGGGGCCGGACCAACTAGGCCCCCTTAAATCCACACAATTGTATCTCAATTAGTTTTCAACTAAAAACAAGAAAACATATTGTCCTTACCAATCAACAGATGCTTAAACCAATCAGTAGTCTTTTAAATTTCTGCCAGCAAATTTAATGATGTTCCTAGTAAACTATCTCAGTTAATTATTGAAAACTGACATTTTTTTTATCTGTGAATTATTGAAAGTTTATGACTTATGTGGATGTTTTAAATGAGCAAATCAAAGTTTTAATTTTTAAGGTTTTACTAAATTGTTGTATCACTGATTGCACTGTAGGCTTAGACTAACCGAGTGACAATATGTCGGCCTTGTACATTAGTTTGGAGTACCAGTTAACAATGCTATGTGGTTCTACCCACTACCACTATAATCAGAAAGGTAAACAAGGATGTTCTACTGTCTACAAAATGCCCAAAGGCCCTGTTTATTGTTACAGTAACAGTGCCATGATGTTCAAGCATGAGATAATTAGGGTAAATGTCCATTCATGCTGCTACATCTGTTGAAAATGTAATCATGCTGCAGTATTCCTATCTAAGCACCCAGTTCAAATTTTATGCTTTAAAGGGTCTACTGGCACTTCACTACCAGGTCATCTTTTAACCTGGTACTTTTGTTCTACAGTAGAATTCATTTGGATCGGGTCTAGAACATTAGTCTACAGTATGTATTCACTGATGTTACTACCCAGACATTTCAATGAAAACTTGCCAGTCTTGAAATGGCAAACACAAGATTTCAAAAATCAAGATAAATGGACAAAAAACTAAATCTGTTCAGATTTTCTACAACTTTAACAACCCCCAAATTTAGGACCCATTTAAAGATTGATTCATTCAAATCATGCAAAGCTTGTACCCATTAGCAAAGAGTATAACTTCAAGAGGTGGGACTTTTTGGGTTCCGTTGAGACTTAATCCTATCACGAAAAGTACTACTACCATGAACAAACTAGCAGGCGTCCTTCAAAAGAACATAAAAGGCGTTCGTCAGTGGTTTGTATCACACTCGTGCTGCGTTTATAAATGCATTCGAGTTTCGAACATTATTCGAATTCTAACAAGGCAGTCAAACATCTTGGAATTCTATAATCGTTGCTATTACAGTAGCATGTTACATGATTTTAATTAAGCAATTGCCATGTTGGCGAAATCCAAACTTTATGGAGTTTTGATGAAGCCACAAACCATTCTATATTTACAACTTTTTCAAGGATGCAAAATATATATTTAATGGGTCAAAGCTTTTAAAATAGTGCCATCATGTGTTGTGACGATTTTTATCCTTATGCCGGGCACAGACAGCGTGGTGCAACAGTCGTATGTCTGTCGACGAATCTATCTTTGCCCTCAGCAGATTGTTGACTGTGGACTGTCATTAATACAGTCAATCTGTAATTAATATATGCCTCGTCACGTTGCACTCAAAATGGAATAGCATCAGCCAACAATCATCGGCACAGTGTGTGCCCGGCTTTATGTTCGTACTACCACGCCATTTAGTGCGGCTACATCACTGAACTTGGTGTAAAGAGTATTTCAATTAAAGTTATTAAATTAGAAAGTTGTCAGCAATTCTTTCTGACCAAGAACAGAATGAAAATGGCAAGACTTTGAATGATCAAGTTGAGAGTGCTAGTGTATTGCATACAAATTGGTTAAGCTTGGTTTCCATACAATCGCTACACTGTCAACATAGTGCTTTTTAGTACAATCGTTGTACTGCGTAGCAGACCCCGACGCAATCTGGAAGGCTCCTTGATTCAACAGACCAATCAGCATCACCGAAAGCTGTCGGCGATTTTATGGAAACCAAGCTTTAACTGTAATGTTGTTAATCATTTGGCATTTACATAGGACTTGATGAAAAAAGGCAAAAAAAACCAATAACAAATTGGTTATCTGTACCCTGTCATATAAAATTGAAAGTTAACTTTGTTCGTATGAATGTAGTATAAATGTGAAGTTCATCAAAGATAGGGTTGGTTATAATATTATTAGTATGAGTGATATGTGCACAAAAATAACATATCATTGTGACTTACATTAAGGCCTACAGCAATTTTTTATGGATATCAAAAACTTACCTTGTTGGCCCCCTGAACACATTAATGAGTCGGTGCTTAGGAACATCACAGTCAACAAATGTGGATATGTTGTTTCCAAAGCCATGCATAACGCTTTAAAAGCTTCTTTTCCTTTAGTTGGTAAAATATCCAGAAGTGTCTGCATCTTGGAGTGGGAAGTAGTTTGCTGGTTAATTAAAGTTATATCAGCCTGGGATAAGATCTTGTGATGGAGCACTGGGTACAACAATCGATCCACTTGGTCGACAGAATGGATAAATTTTGTCCTGTGAGTTAGCAGTAATTCTTTGTGTTTTACCTCCATGATGGAAGTGTTCATACTGCATATATGTAGCAGGAAAGTTAAAGTAACCAAACAAAGGTTAATTATCAACAAAAAGTTTATGGACAGCCATCCATAGCTGAAACATTTCGGCCATATTGGCGGTGTAGGCTAGGCCTATCTTCGGTTAAAAATCTATCCCTATTCCTAAAATGGTTGCCTGCTGAGAATACGGCGAAGTTTTTGTTCGCCCGACGATTCTTATCGAAATGGCTTGCATTTTAAAGGTGGTAGTCATCAAGGTATAGTTATATTTTATCATTACCCGAAGTTTGGTTACATGTTTCTCTTCCTACCGTTCAATAACTCTCAAAATTTCTAACGTCTTCTGGTTAGCACTCCGTCGCCATTTTGTATTGTGCAGTTGGGCCTGATGTAGATTGGCGATGAATAATGACAACAGACCTATCCTATCAATCATCGTTACGTCACTATCCTTATAAGGTTCTTGCGGCAGGAGGAGTGTGACAAAAGGAAAAAAACTCCGCCCTCAATAGTTATTTTTAATTGATTTCTGGATTTATTTTTGTCATGTATTTTATTAAAATATAAAGTAAAGCATAGACTAGCAAAACAACGGAGGAAAGGCAGTAACATCAAAGAAAGAGGAAAAGGTCATTGATAGATTTGGATTTCGATTTGATTTTTATATAAAAATTATAACAGATTGAAAATTGTGATAAAGGTTAATTCCTAGGCCTATTTCTTATTATTTGAACATACCTTATTGAAGAATTTGGTAAAATTAGAAAACGTAAGTCTATATATTTTAATAGAATGAAATCAAAGGTAATTGGGAGCTGTCTTCCATGGTGAGAGTGTTGCAAACCAAATAATAATAATTTTTAAAATATCGTTTTTTTGAAATATAAGAAGACAGCATAGTAATAATAAATTGTTTAAAAAAAGTAACCTTTCACTCCAACTGTTTTTATGCATACACAATTAACAAGGTACCCACACAATAATTTACCTGTAGCAGACGTACTTTCTTATTATTATCGTGCAATTTAAGTAACTTTTTACTTCTATATTAAAAGTGGTTTTTTTTATGGATGTTGTGCTTTTGCCTTTGTTGTGTAAATTTGTAAATGTATAGTATGCCATTTCAAATTACATTTCTGTTTTTATATGAATGGACAATTGGACTATTGAGATTGAAAAAAATATATATAGACCCTATATCCACTCAAGCTTTATTTTTTATTTGATATTATTTCTTATGCATATACAGCATAAAACATATTTAATATTTTTTAAATATTATATTTATATTGTATATCGTGCCATTTAGATTCCAAACATTTACTTCATTACAATACAACAAAATGGGACGACAAGACAGATTTTATTTTATGTTCGTACGCCTTAGTATTATTAATGGTTTTAAATCATTTTAAGCATTGAAGAAGTGATGAGGATGGAAATACTTTGAAAATAAAAAAATTATTGAAAACGATTACCGTAACTCATTTCTCCTGTCTGCAATCCGATAAACAATGCAAGCCATAAAAAGAGAGATAGGGCCTAGTTGAAATTAACTCAGATAATAGTAGGCCTATTCGAATGTTTGTGTACTGTACGTTATAGGCTTAGGGCACATAGAAAAAATTATTAGATTATCACTCTTTTTTATTTAAAAAATTGATGAGGGAGGGCGGTTTTTTTTTTAACAGAACAATAGATTATTTTGCTTTTGTTTTTATCGATGAGGGAGAGACTGTTTATATTTGGTCTGTATTATATATTTTTTTTAAAGAAAATGTATTTAAAGTCACAGAATTGCATTGTTATTTTTATGCTGTTAAAATAATTGATGCGGCAAAAAAAAAATTTTTTTTTTATTCCCGCATCTATATTACCCGAATTTTTGACGCGGGCGGGAGTGATACGTTTTTCTATTTGCCCTTATAATATATTTTTCTACTAACTAATCAATTGTATCCTTTTTTAAACACCATTTAACTATATTTTATTTAAGTTTTTTTATGTGTATGTTGAACCTTGAAAAAGAATTTCATGTGAACCTTACGTGACAAGAAAGAGAAACTTGAACTTGCAACATGTAAATTAGTAGAGAGGGCGCTTTAGACATTTTCATGTTTGCCAGGGGACAAAACACAGAATACAGTACTGTACTGTATCGTCAATTGTCCATCATAATTATCATCGTCATCATCATCATCATCTTACCAAGTCACTGGACGTTGGCGATCATACCTTTCCACAATTATCTGTCTCAGTGGCGTATCTAGGGGATGTGCACGCCCCTTCCCCCCCCCCCCCAATATAGCTCAAGTAGTTAAAAATCGGCTCAAATCACCACCTTATTTTACGAGCTAGCGCCCGTCACCTAATCATCTAGGCCTATCCCCACTTCACCTTCGCCCCTCCATCAGCCTCCCCCCATTTCAAGACTCCTAGATACACAATTTGACATACTCTTCATTAGCCAAGGTCTACCTCCCTTTCTTTTCTTAAATGCCCAGAAATTCTAAATCGTCCCCTAATGAAATTAATATTTTTACAACCCCAAATTAATTATCTGGACCAAGATGTGTATTCCTTTACTATTAGGTCTCCACATTAATGTGTTTGCCTATTTGTTTTATTCTGTGACATATGCTTTGACATCATTAATATTTCACAATAAAAACACAATTGAGAGGGACTAATCGAAAAATAAATACCGATTTATTCGAAATAAACGCCCCGGGTTTTTCGAGGGATGCGTTTATTCGAGAGAGGTTGTGTTTTTTGTTTTTGTTTTTTGGTGTAAAATGGATAAATACTCAAATAAACGCACCTTAATTTCACTATAAATGTGAAACACTAAAACACATTACCGTCTGTTGTTAAATGATCACAAAAACTTATTGATCCGAACCAGGTTAGAAAAAATGTAATTCTACTGGAGTAGAACAATATACAGTAATAAAATGTGTTGAGAATGATGTTGCTTATGTGTTTTTATTATTATATTTGTTTACAGCCATTTATGAGGAAGTTTAGGAATATTCGAGGAAACAATAAACACCTCTGGGAGTATTCGAGGGTGTATTCCAGATGAGAGGGGGGGGGGCGTTTATATTCGGGGATGGGGAATTATTTTTTGGAAAAAATAGGGTAGGACTAACGATCGATAGATGGATGATGATGTAGTAAATAATACTACACTTTTTTAAACACTTGGAACACCTCATAATGAAGGTGCGTCCGAAAAATACACTTTATGAAACTGCAAAAACAAAAGCAAGTAATAAAAGACAAAATAGTAACAACCAACCAAATATTATTATTATTTTAATTTAACTGAATGAAATCAGAGGCAATTGGCTGAGTTGTCTTCCATGATGAGTGTTGCAACCCAAATTAAAATCATTTTTAAAAAATACAACATGGACATACATACAAAGTGTATCACGCATATGGCGTCTTTCACGCGCTCTTAGGGACCAAAACACGCATATCCATAAAATATATGTATTTTGTGACCTTTGTAGCCCTCTTCCTACTAAAAATACTTCATCGCAGTAGGCCTACTTAAAGTATGATACCATGTATACTACCTGCAATCATAGTGACACTGTGAATATGTCTTTTTATGAAGTGCTAAAGATCAAGGAAAAATGCAGATTCAGGCCAGGCTGAACGCATTTGCATCTCGCGGGGGACGGATCGATTCCCATACCCATAGGGGCGGAATTTTTAAGTCTCACACCTGCAAATTTGTCTAACTTGGAATCTCTGTGGATAAATAACACATATATTGACATACCTTCTCTCACATCCTTACAAAATACATTTAATATCAAACGATCTGTTGCCGCTTATCATTTAGATTTAAGTTGACGCGAATTGTCATGATATGACGTAAAATGACGCGATATTACATTTAAAAAATCCCCGTGCAAAAAATGGAAGAGTCACACATCCATGCCTACGTCACTGGCTGTTTTGTTATTGTTTGTAAACACGACCTAGCTGAGCAAGTGCTTAGTGCAACGTTGACAATTATTTTGTTTTTTGTCGGTTTCGTAAGTATATGATGTATTCACACAGTGTTATTCATTGGGAATGTTTTATTTTTTAACTTATGTTCTTATATAAAGACTTGCACTATTCTCTAAAAATAAAATGGGTTAATCACCAAAGCATAACACACCGTGACTCCAAGTAAAGAGACTTTCAGTAACTGTCTACAGTACTGTATTTTGGTCCAGGCTCAGGGAGGTGCGGTGCGCTGTATCTTGCATGGAAATATCGAATGGCAGGCTACTCTACAATACCGAGTCAGTGGTGGCGCCAGATGTGCACGACGGAGGGGCGGATGTCAGTCCCTGAAATGGGAGAGGGGTGCGATCTGGTCATGCTTCGCTCAGAATCCCTCTGAAGGCTTCCATGGGACGAGGAATCCCCAGTCCTGGAAGGAAGCTGTGATATAATTTAGGCCCGGTGGGGGGAACTTGTAAACCAACCTTATGGGGGCGTGCAGCAGTCACTCCAAGACATGAGACACTTGCGCTACCTATTTTACTGAAAATTATTAGAGACTTGAACTACCATTTACCAAAATCTATTGTCGGTTGAACTACTATTACAGCCATGTAAATACCAAATTATACTTGTACTGTTCCCGATGGCGAATAAGACCGCGGTTCTGTCTGTTCGTGATCCCTACTGTTCGTGGCTATGTATCAACGGTAGGTTTAGCACGGAGGTTAGCAAAAAGTCTTCGCTAACATCATGTTAAAAATTATGCGACATTGATACCTGGTATTTCCCACACTTGTGCTACCAAGGTTGAAGTCCTCGCAAATATACCCTATACATGCTGAAACTCTTCCATAAATTCCCACGCTTGTGCTACAAAGTCATAAAAAATACCCCGTAAATGCGGCACCTACCGTCTAGAAATATTGAAGCGTGAGCCCCTCCCCAGCAATTTAGGAATTTGAAATTAATTGATATTTTTTTAAGGCGGGCGAAGAACAGATATTGTCTAGAATCGATAATGTCTAACAGTATTTTTTTTTTCTTCCTGACGAATTGTAATAATTCAACCCCACCACAGGTGTAGTATAGAGTAGCTTATACTATACTGTTCATGCGTAAATAAATTGCATACCGACGTTGTTCTCAACAGCACTATATGGGCTACTATTACAATCATGGTGACGACGTTAAATGACATTGCTCCAGACAACAATCCACAATCCAGGCGTTCACAGGGGCCACAACAGCCTAGAATGGTATGAATCTTGATGTTTTATAGTGTTAAATAGTCTTTTCTTTGTTGACAAACATGTCGAACAGTTTTTGATATTGTATGCTTTCGATATCATAATGCATTCAAATTAAAAAATGTTGCAGCTTTTCATTTCATTCAGTAGTGGAACCCCTGGACCCCTTTCCCGCTCACTTACAGTCCTGTTGGTGACACCGCCCTCCCCCTACTATAAACAAAAATATGGCTCTTTATTCCTTCCCTCTGTGTTGGGAAAGTCCTGGTGCCACCATTGATTACTTTGCAAGTATAGTAATAATGATACAGTAATAATAATAGTTCATTCTTACAGTGCATATAACTGAAGTCTCAATACGCTGTATATAAATTTAAATAATACAGAATACGAATATAATCTTAAAGTAATGATATTTAACATATTTTTTCTTTTAGGGAACTGTGCGCCATGATGACCATCGTCAGGGGGAAGGTGAAAATCAGCAGGAAGGCATGATGGGACAGATTTCAATATTTGATACATTAAATCAAAAGCTTTTGGATGGTGGATTTCCAAGATGGAATGCAGGGCCGTATGTGGTGGAACCAATTGTTAGCGTTGGATTCATTCTCGCTGGGTTACTCGCAGGAATTCGTGGAATCATATTTGCAGGAGTGCTTTTTATTGTATGCAAATACAGCGTAGGTGAGGGACTTGGAAGATGGTGGACTTCCCTTGGAGGAGGAGGAACTGGAGGTGGAAGAACTGTTGGTGGGCCTGGTGTAGGAGGAGGAAGAAGAATCTTACGACCAAGATAATAAAATAATGCGATCATGTCAAAGTTTAAGCAGTTTCTTATTACATACAATTCGGTATATTATTGTAATAGAGGGTTCCTATTTGAATAATGATATTTATATGGCACCAATTGCAATCAAGATCAGATGTAAAACAGATCAGAGATGCCACAGGAAAAGAAATGGACCTTAAAGCTGTGACTTAAAGAAAGGTAGAAGCTGGTTGTAAAGGCAAGCAGAATAGGTATTTTGGCATTAGATTTACATATTGACTTTATGATATGAAAATACAGTACTGTAAATGAGAATAACTTCACAATAGCTTGTGGTAAATCTCTAAAGAAATACAATAAACGCAACATAAAGCTAATAAAACTGGCTTTATTCAATATTTTTATAACAACTATTTACTTTCATACAGTAAATTATATCTATTTTTTGCTTTAAAATTGTTAAATTATCTGTCACAAGAAAACATAGGCAGAATCAAGTGTGTTATATAAAGGCCAAATCAGACAGCATTTTACGATGCAGCCCAATGCAATACGTTGTCGCATCGGATCTGTGTGTGTTGACACATATTTCGATTGGTCTGTGTTGAGGGGCCAGTCGGATTGTAGAATATATAATGCAATACAAGCAGTGGGTGTCTTGTGCTGCCAAAATCCAAGTTACTGTACTTAATTTTAAGAGTCAACACTTAAGTAAATCTTTCAAAATACAGCTGAATAATAAAGTGATAAAACTTTGGAAGATAGTGAATAAAAAATTATTTAAAGGGACAGTCGCAATTTCTTTCATCTTATATTTAAAGTTAATTCAAACACCACCCTGCCTATGTGAGGTGTTATCAGTATTCCTTTAATTCAATCTCAACTGATTTTGTTCACCATAACAACTTCATTACCATCCATATAGTTCATGTCATTGAATATTAATGTTACAATATTAACCTAATAATAAATTATGTAAAACTATTGTTTTAAACAACTTTTAACTGATGATTAGAATGTACTTATATTCTACAATGTCTTTGGTATCCAAAACAACTTAAGCACACACAATTCAACAGAAACCTTTTAGATTAATGTTAGAGGTGCAAGGCAAAACATGGTGTATCTAAAAGCTATGTTATTCTGCATAGAATAAATAAACAAGGAAGTCATTTAACTGTAAAAGCACAATTATAATTTGCCGTGCAGATCTGCTTTTTTTCTCTCCTGAATTTCACAAAAAAATTATCTCTGATTAAGGAATTATATACATTATAACCTTGGTATAACCAACATTTATTTATACGTTTTTGTTATAAACTCTCTAAGAACAACAGGCAAATTCTGGATATTTCAATTTTTTTTTAAATTGCAGGACTGATGCAGGCTTATTAGGACTGCTGTTTAACAGGCGAACCATCCCAATGTATATAGGATGTAACTTGAGAATTATATTAGATTAACTCATCATTAAGGCCAAAAAAAATGTTCGTTTGCCTTCCTCACCTGCCCCTAACTCACTGAAAAAATGCAAATAAAAATACTTTACAAATTTAAAAAAATGTGAGTAAATTGATCTTTTTTTGGCCTTTTTAAGCCCTGTCCAGACTATCAAATTTTATTTGACAAAAACATGTGACATGCCCAAATATGTTCATGATCACATCATCACCATATATAGGCACATCATCACTATATAATACAGTATAAAGAAAATTTGATAGTGTAGACAAAGCTTTAGGTATACAGCCCCAAGATTTGTCTCTCGTTGATTAGTCACTGGAACGATATTGCTTTGCACCATCTCCACCATCCCCCCTCCCACAGAGCAGAATATCTGAGAGGGAAGATAACATGATAACTCTAAGTCATTATATGAGTCTTAATATATTATTTAGAAAATATTTCAGATTCAACATATTTTTAATTGCTTTTTTAAGTGGTATAGGCCTGATATTATTTTTGATGTTTACAAAAAATAGCAAGCTAAATTAAATAATATTATTAAACATCTTATTATGGGATTTAATACCTCCTTGGTGATCTACTCATGGACTTGCTGACTCTACTTTTTTTTTTCACGCATACATACAGCTACAGTAAGTACTCACAGGACTATACTGTGCGAATATCATCTTAAAACTAAAAACTCTTATTTAAACTATATTTAATGCACCATATAAAGTTTCCAACTTAAGGCAACTTTATAGTCAATATATAACATAAATGTTATCGTCTAATATATAACATGTTGCACTAAATTCTCTGGATTCAAAATCTAGTAGTTTAGGAAAACGCATATTTACACTCTGTTCAAGGTATCATAAAATATATCTAAATATTTTGTTTATTTTTACGCAAATTGCTGTTATTTGTCAATCAAGGTTTAAGTCTAGTTCACTAGGAAACATTAAAGCACAATTTTACATTTAAACAGGAATGGAGTTAATACTTTATATTACTGCAATTATATATCCGCAGACTAATCATCAGCACATAGAATACGTACAAGTTTATCCAATCGTTGGAATGCATATACTTCAGTAGTGAAGAGCACTTGGATGTTTTCTGCTACTGCCAGGCCTGGAAAAAAATGTGTGTGCCTCCGACAATGAAAATTGTTTGATAAAATTTCTCTCCAGCATCAAATGTTAAATGTACACTATATAGCCCAACAGTTTATTTTTTAAAATTTTTTCCCTCAAAAATGCCTCCGGGACATTTGTGATACCTCCGACACTTTTTCTAGCCCTAGCTACTGCTCCACGGCTATATTCTATATATAGCTTGTGACATGGGTTATCATTGATAATTTATCATAGCAGAAGTGACAAGGTCGTGTCCAGGCCTAAGACCAAAGAAAATACTCTGCTGGAATTGACGAAGGTAGTTTATCTCAGCTGGCAGAGTGTAGTAACAGTAATCAAAATGCTGAAAATATATTTTGGCAACACCACAAAAGTCGTTCCTATACTATACTTTACTCCACTACACTGGGTACTGTAGTATATTTAGCCAAGTAGACGAATATACCGCTGCTCTGTGTTTCTCCCATGTGATGACTCTCATCAGACTGAGTGGATTATTTCTGAAAATGATCTGTCATGCTTGCCTCGTCATGTTTCTGTCAATGTGAAATCGAATTACCACAGTGTCTGCCCATCTTTACTTACTTCTCATGTAATCGGCCATGAAACAAGATACAGTATACCATTTTAAAAATAATCACATACACTGAATAGCGTCAGTGGACGACTCTTGATAAAGTGTGCCCAGCTCTACTACCTTCTCACATACTTGGCCATGATACAAGATTTACATGATTTTAAAAACAATCACGTTAAATTGTGATTACCGGACTAGCCCTATTACTCCATGAGCTACAACTGCAAAATTGAAAATTAATTTCAATTAGCACAATTAGCAAATATTTCTATAAGCAAAATCACTATTTGTACTAAAGCTACTGAAATCCTTTGGGTTATGTGCACTGGTTTTTTGACCGTGTTAGTGTACAATATGACGCCGCAAACCGAGAAAATCTCTGGCTGCATTGGAAGCTATCAATGTTTTGCTTGGCAAGCTCTGCTAATCTTTCATCTGTTGACGTTGTACTCCCGACTGGTTCCCTAATATCCGATGTATGAGACAATACGTCAGTCTTATCGCCTACCAGTATTCCACCCTATTTAACAAATCAGATAAATATATTAAGTTAAAATAATAATTGCTAAAACATTAGCTAATAAAAAATGAAAAGAAAACCCATATATTACAAAGAAAAAATATGTATGAGGTGACACGTTGGTCTTATCGTCTAGCAGTAGTCCACTCCATTCAACGAATCACATGAATATATTAAGTTAAAATAATAATTGCTAAAACATTAGCAAAAAAAAAATTTAAACAAAATCTATTAATTATGAAGAAAAAGATGTATGAGATGACACATCGATCTTATTGTCTACCAGTAGTCCACTCTATTTAACAAACCACATGAATATATTAAGTAAGTAAAAATAATAATTGCTACAACATTAGCAAATAAAGAATTTAAACAAAAGCCATTAAATGAAGAAAGAGATATGAAAATGAATGATTAAATGTCATCAATACAACTGTGAAGTGTGCAGGAATACTTTTTATAAGGTTGTGTACATTGGTCATAACGTGAAAGGGCTATGCTCACTATGTACATGTTTCCATGCAGAGTTCACTCCATTATTTTTATTATTATCACTGTCATTGATATTATTGTTGTTACTATTATCATTATTAATATTTTTGCAGTAAAACAGTTGTTCAAGTGATTACTATGGTAGCTGACACATGTACAGGGAAGATTTCCTTTTGTTAGCTATCATCTCATGTGAGGCAAATAAAACTATGAATTATGAAATTCAATAGGTTAAAATTAAAAATGCAAATTTAGAAAAACCTTTTGCTGGTAACTAAGACAAATACAGTAAGTTTGAGAAGTTTTACAACAGCAATTGGATCAATCAATCAATCAATGGATTTACAATCAAGTGATGAGTATTATTATGTGGAGACACCACCACCCACTGTTTGTTTTGATATTACACCCAACAGCTTTGGTGACTAATTTGGTGTACAATAACATTTTAGATAATATTGTAAGATTGAGACAACACGTGGCTATTATAAAATGAAAAGTTATGCACCCTCTATTGCATAAACATGCGATGAAACACTGAGTGGTAAATCAATTTGAAGCACTAAATTCTATTAACAAGAAAAACAATATGCATTAAAAAAGGACAAGAGTGCTGAAGCACACCTCAACCCCATCCCCCACCCACTGCCCACCCCATAAATGGTTCACTGCTAGAGGTTAAGTGGATATTGGACACATTATATTTAAGAACGTTGTTGTCCTCCAGGTCGTTAATAACATATGAAAATATAACGCTTCAAATCATGAAATAATTGAATGATAAAGTGAAGTATGATAACTGGATGAAATATGCAAAACAAAAGTCCAAAAAGACCAAAAAATTAATAAAAATAACATGCCAAAATTAGCCAAAAATTGTAAATAAACCAAGAACTATAAATACATTCAATATAATACAGAAAATAAAGGAATTTAGTGCTAAATGAATTCTGAATATGTTTGAACAGGTTATAGTTATATTCAATCCATCAGTATTTCCAAATGGATTTCCACATGTTGATTATAACAATTTATTATTTTTAATTTGTATCACAATATGTATTCAGTATTCTAAAAAGCACAATAACTAAGTATAAAACATACCCCAAACAAGCCATTATAATTCAATATTTTGATTGTTATTTAGATCATCACCAGGAATATTATAGCACAATATTTATGTCTATATTTATTAGCTATTTTAATTAGTAGCACTACAGTTATTATAATATTGAATTTCATTCATGTTAAGCTAAGAAAATAAGAGTTATATTTATTATTCCAATCATTAGCACTATATTTACTTATTGGTTTTAATTAGTAGTACTACAGTATATATATTTATTTATTTACTTTATTAGTTTAATCAGTAGACTATAATATTCTAATCATTAGCACTATATTTACTTATTAATTTTAATTACTAGTACCATATTTATTTATTCATATCTTTATCACTTTAATTAGTAGCACTCCTTTGATATTTTAGAGTAAATTATGTTGGGTTTTGTTTGTTTTTTTTTAATTTAGGCATTCTAAATTAAATTGAAGCAATTCACATTTATTTATTTATTTATCATATTTTTTAAAATTATCATTTTGATAATTAAGAAAAACCCAGAATAAATGAATGCAAGAATGACCTCAATATAAATGAAAATACACATGATATTTCAGCCAATGACAGGGTTGGAAAGCTCAGGATTCTCTCAATAAAGATACAACTAATAGGATGAATGCAGGTTTACTGCCACTACCACAAAACAAAGGAATTTAATAACAAAATTCATTCAAGATAAAAGTTGAAAATTAATGAAGAAAGAAAAACTGGAGATGAAAAGCAAGGGAGACAAAGCTTGACGCGAGAATATGTTCATCCTCGTCATCTACTTACAGGTGTAGACATCCGGACTGCATTCAGTGACGTAGTAGTCATAGTTACTACAGCTAGAAGGAGACCACATGCAACATGAATATGAATACAATATGGTAAAACAAATACACTCAACACACACACACCCCCCCCCCACACACACCCACACACAGGCCTGCACTGGGTCACACCGGCCTGTGTACATCATATGAACACACACAGGCCTGCACACTCACACACTTGCCTGTACACACCTACACACACCCTTACAGGATGTATGATTACATAAACACGCACAAACACCAGCCTGCAATCTAACACGCACATGCATTTTACCGTTTACCGATAATTTGGCTTTATTCAAAAAAACCTTTTGTGAATAATAATTAATAATATAAATGCATAACTAAGTTCTACGCTACTAAATATTTATTTTTAAAATGATGTGTTTTTAAAATATTAAGAGAAGAATAATACTGAGGTGCTCAGCAAAAATAAAGGCTGTCTTGAAAATGTGTAGATAAAAATACATAAGGCCCTGTCCAGACTATCAAATTCAATTTGACAAAAAACTGTGGTATGCTGATTATGCAGTCATAATGTGCCTATGTTCATGATGTGATGTCATCATGACCATATTTAGGCATGTCACATGATTTTGTCAAAAAAAAAATTGATAGTCTGGACAGGGTTTAATAGAAATACAAAGACATACAAGCACAAATTCACAATACTTATTGTTTACCTTTCCTCCACTGTTGGCATTTAAACAAACATAAAATATATCAAAAATAAGACATTAAATTCTATGACAGAAATATCTCTGCGATGACCTATACTTCAAGTTGTATTTTGAGGCTTAAGGTGCATTCACACAAAATCCAAATTACTGGATCGAAAAGCCTAACGAACCAATCAGGAAATCGAACCAGTGTCTAAGAATTAAGGGCGTTTTGTTCAGTACATAATATTATACCATTCACAGTCCAAAAGACATGGGGATAACATACCGATTCAATATATATTTACTTGAACACCATTCATGATGAGGCTCAAGTAAAGTACAAAATATAATAAATCAATATAGCAACAATGAGACTTCAGAAATATGCATGGTATTATATTTGTAATGCAGTTGACTTCAGACATAACAAAAACTGATTTTAACCCACAGACACTCAGATTTGAAGGGAAGAATAATAACCACAAGGCTACAAGCTCTACTCTAAAACGCATATTAAAAAATAATAACCAAATATTTTCCAGTAGTTATCATCAATTATTTAATTATTGCTACATTTAATCTCTGTTAATTTACATAAGCCTGGTTCTCACGAGAGCCCTAGTATCCGGATCGGGAGCTAACCATTAGCGCTAACCTTTAGCAACTGCGTGAGAACGCCCGATCGGTTAGCGCCAACCGTTAGCGGTATCCAGATACCGCTAACGGTTAACAAGCGCTATCGGTTAGCAAGTTGAGCGCGATCCTATCATCAACCAATCACATGTACGCGTTTACAATTTACAGTTTCTTATTGGCCAGTGATTCGATCATCATATTCTTGGTATCCGGGTCGGGATCTTGGTCGTATGGACGCACGGCAGCTAACGGTTAGCAGGATCCGGAACCCGCTAACCGTTAGCTGCCGTGTGAGAACATAGCCATACTTACTTTGTGCATTGGACGGTAATGTTTGGGTTCTTCTGATAGGTCGATTACTTGACTTGTAAGTTGGCTGCTGTAATTATTGTAAGAAAACTAAAAGTTATTGTTGATAAATAGACCTTTTCATAAAGGCTGATTTTATTAAAAACCAGCACATCCAGTAGATGAGTGGATTATTCCATTTTTTTATGATCCCACACTACGTAAGCAAGATGATACACACTAGCTACGTAGTGACTCGATAAGAACTGAATTTTTACTGTATGTTATTTCTTTTGTATTTATGATTTGATTTAACTTAACTTTTAGCAATCAGAGTAAAATACAAAAACATTGAATACAAAACAACATATAAACAAATACAATTGAAAAATCTGAAAACAAGGAATAGCCCAAAAAGGTTTCAAAGAAACATATTTCCATTGGAATCCTGCAAACGAAACATTTAATTGATTAAATGAATAAAATGAAAATGCAATCTACAATTAAAAAGAATAACATTTGCTAAAATTTAAAAGGGAGTGTTTACAATTTTAAAATTTTAAGACAATATTAAAAGATCTACAATTAAAACTCATTAAAAATAGACTTTTGGCCAATTAAAATTCATCTGGAAGAAAATTCACTTTGATAAAAACGAAGACCACAGAACAACAGACTTGGCAACATTAGAAAAATACTGAACTCCTATACATTCCAGAAGTGATCTTTGAGGGACTTTTTAAATGAGTTTAATGATGTGGCCTTAATTATTTTGCCTAAAATTAAATTTAAAAAATCTACTACTGAAAAATAAATTTTATTATTTTTACCTCTTGGGAGTAATCACATGCTGGTCTTGATGGCGGTCTGTACAGATCTTGACCAGTATAGTGACCACCTCTTTCCGTTTGAATTCCATTTACTTGTTGGTTTTCAAATATGCTGATCTTATCTTTTACAGATTGTCGTCGTCCAGTGTAGCCGTCAAGTAATTCCTCACTGTGGGTTCTCTGTAGTCTAGATGAGGGAGGCCTCTCTAATGGGGCTGTTGCTGCGCTAGCATACTGAGGCATATCTCTGCCCTTGATGTGTGACTCGGCCCGATAGAGGTTATGAGGCTGGGTATATTTTACCTCTACTTGTGAAATATCATTCAATTTAGTAACCTCTGATCGCAGATCTCTACTGTACTGTGGGTAATTACTTTGAGCTGGCTGACTATATATACCTTGCAACTTTGTTGATGTTGAAATATATTGTTTAGGAATTTTGGGATACATAGGGGCTGCATAGGTACCAGTGTTACTCTGCCTATACCTGTTGAGTGGTTCGGTGGTTGGGAATCTTTCTGAGCCTTGGGTTTGAGTTGAATTTTGGAATGTCGTACTATGTGGTACAACACTTGCCAAGTTCATCTTCTGGAACTGACCGCTAAGCTGACCATCATAGGGCAAAGAACTTCTGTTTAAATGAAAATAACAGAAAGGTGTCATATTGAAGTTTACTGACCTAGTACTACAAGATAATAGTTTCTTTTACTACATAGATATAATATCTATTATATACCGCATACATAGATTCCAGCCATGTGATTGGTTAAAAAGCAGGTAATAACTTCAACCATCACACCTATGACATAGGTTGAATGATAGTTCATAAATTCCTGTGGAAAAAATACTACCATGTTAAATAATAGTACTTTTTTGTCCTATCACGATGTAATCTCTAGGCCCCACTTACAAAGTGGCTGTTTAATTTATGACACATGCGGACGACCCATGACACGTGCATGGCTGATCATGGTTGAGCGAGTAGGTCTACTTGGTGGGTACTTTTTTTCACTTCTTTTTTCAGGCCTTGTAGAATCTATGTATGAGGTATATAAAGCAAATATTGACTGCTCTAGATTCAGGGGATGGTGAAATCTATAGCCCATCGGAGATGTGGGGACCGTAGCCTGCCATCTACCTGAAGGCCATAGGCTACGGCCTTCACATCACCTAGGAGCAATAAATTTCACCATTCCCCTCATGAACAATCAATATCATTATACTATTTTACTACCAATTGTTCTGCGATAATCAGTGCTGTAGGAATAGAAATATAAATTTGAAAAAACAATGGCAAAACTGCCTATAAACAAAAAAAAATCGAAGGAGACAAATAAGAGAATGAGTAGGATAAAATTGAGAAGACAAAGTGGGAGGAGACAAATAGAAGACACCAAGAAGAAGGACACCAAGAAGAAGGACACTAAGAAGGAGGACACCAAAGTACGAGACCAACATGTAAAATTGAATGTACTTGACTTACAAATCCTCATCTGCATTGCTTGACTGACTAGAGTCCTGTCGCTGTAGCATTTGTAAACGGCTATGTAGGCTCCGAGAGCGTGAAACAGTTGACTGATACATATCCTCCAGTAAAACCCTGGTCTGAGAGTCTATCTCAGAATATTTCAACGCCTGTTTTATGTTCACTGGAAGAAAAATATTATCAATGATAATTATATTATTGATTAACCCAAAATGAATTATTCAACAGTAAAACCCTGATCTGAGAGTCTATCTCAGAATATTTCAATGCCTGTTTTATGTTCACTGGAAGAAAAATATTATCAATGATAATTATATTATTGATTAACCCAAAATGAATTATCCAACAGTAAAACCCTGATCTGAGAGTCTATCTCAGAATATTTCAAGGCCTGTATTATGTTCACTGGAAGAAAAATATTATCAATGATAATTATATTATTGATTAACCCAAAATGAATTATTCAACAGTAAAACCCTGATCTGAGAGTCTATCTCAGAATATTTCAATGCCTGTTTTATGTTCACTGGAAGAAAAATATTATCAATGATAATTATATTATTGATTAACCCAAAATGAATTATTCAACAGTAAAACCCTGATCTGAAAGTCTATCACAGAATATTTCAATGCCTGTTTTATGTTCACTGGAAGAAAAATATTATCAATAATAATTATATTATTGATTAACCCAAAATGAATTATTCAACAGTAGATTTATCTATTGTTACCTGTGCACACAATTTTAAATGAACTATCTTTGTATGTTAAAAATATTAATAAGTATTTGTAAGTATTTTATTAATAAACCAAAATGGAGCATACAGTATTTAGATATGAAGCTAACCTGTGTTGTGACTTCATATAATGGTTATTTTTATATTTCTAATATGTAATGTATTTTTTCTCATTACACTACAAAGAGGGTCCCAAATATCACAATCTATGGGTCACCTTTCCATAAATACATAGATACATATTAGTAAAATTCATTCATTGAGAAGTTGGTAATACAGTACAGTAATCATATTTAAATATTACTAGCTTTAATAAATGTATTTTTTAAAACAAATTAAAATATATATTTAATAGGCTAATTGAAATGCTTAATATTAAGAAAATGGGTTTACTGTTACCCTCATTGATATCTACTTGTGCAGCCCTATCAATCTTATAGTATTTATTAATAGGAATGACATAATGAGACACTAGATTACATACATATTGAATTTGTTATCATAGAGAGTGCAGAAGCAAGATCGTCACTATCCTCAGCTATTCTGGATTTTCTAATCAACTTGTCAGCTTCATCGAATAAGTCTCCCAAAGACTCTGTAAGAAATAAAATCAGTTTAGTCAGAAACCAGCTAAGGTTAAATAAAGGCTCTAAATTCAAGATTTATTTATCAATAAATAAATAAATACATCAACATATCATTCAGATTTTCATTCTTACCAATTCTACAACACAGTTTGGCTCACTGGTGCATTATTAAATATATCATTTTATTGCAATAGAAAATAATGATTAAAAATAACAAAAGAAAGAATATCTACATATTTAAAAAGTCAGTATTATCACAAAGTGTACTGTAACCCCTCCTTTGGGATGCCCCTATTAAAGGCACACATCATTAATGTGACACTTAAATGTCTCAACCGAAAGACAGTGCACTATTTTAACTTGTATTTCGGCGTTCCAGCTGAAACACAAGGAGAGACAACGATGGAATTGAACTGAGGAACCTAGAGATCTCCACAGTTCAGCGCACACACAGTGGCTACCACCAGATTAGCCGACTGACCTAAACTGCTCTCTCAATTGATTTTTGATCCCGAAGTGGTCACCTATATAGGGGTTCTACTGTATTTCTGAAGAAGCACATTTATATAAAGTATTTCATTTTAAATTTATCCAATCATTTTTCGAAAAGAAAATGTTACAATTAAATGTCATGTGGTAGGATAAATATGAGGAAAATACACATCAAATTAAAATACACAAACTTACGATGTGTAGGAGTGTGTGTATCCCTGCTCTCTCTCTTGTCAACATTCTCATAAGTTGTCCTTGAGTGTTGTTGGTGAGTCTCAGTTCTGCTATTAGAAGAACCATTAGACGGCAGATAATCAGCTAGCATGTCAATTGAGTAGATACTGCCGGAGCTTGTGCTGTTACGATCTCCACTACGATACCCTGAATCACGTCCAAGAGAACCAACCTCTAGAGCATCTGCCTTAGAAATCGTTGGCTGTGTTATTCCTGTATAATATAGGTTTGTTTGCTGGAACTGATCAAGCACTACTGGTGTCAATGTAGCACTTACAGGTTGTGGCTCTTGGATAAATCTTTGTGCTCTGTCGTAGTAATCCGACCTTTGAGCTATTGGGTGGTTCCCTTTGACTACCATATCTGAGACATGATCCCCTTTCATGGGAGCATTCTGTGAACACGAGCTCTGACGTTTACGTGGTAGGGTAAGAAATCCGTTTTGGATATTATATCCACTTGCTGATGTGGTTCTATTTGTATTATGTGGTATTGTTGGAGCTGGCTTGTAAATAGCCATTTTATTACTAGGTAGCCTAGTATTTAACTGGACACCTTGCACAGGTCTTTCATAAGTCATAGAACTTGAGTAACTTGTATTCAATTCCGGTTTATCCACATGTAAATCAGGCTGGCTTCCAAATTGTGATTTCAATTGAGGATCCCACTGACTGCCCTTGAGGGATCCACTGTAACCATTGTCATTTATAGGATCCTCTTTTGACATCTGTGCCAATTTCTCTGACAAATCTGGAACGCTCAAGGACGACACAAGAGATCTTCGAATGTCTGTTGGATTCTCTGTCCAATTGCTAGATTGATTTGAGTCAACAGTGAAACTTTCAAGATTCGTTGGTGTTTGCATTCTATATGAAGAGAACTTATCCTGTGTATGAGCCTTCCTTACAGTTTGAGACCTGCTCCCATTGATTGACCGTTGAACTCCACAATTATAATCAGTCCTGTAGCTTGCTTGTGAGCTAACAGGCTCTGATTTATTCATTGCACGTTGAGGTCTTCCTATTTCAGATACATTTGTATTTCTAGCGGATCCTGCAAGCTCTGGTTTTGGTGCAGATGTGCTGTAAGAGTTTACTGTGCTTGTCCCAATGGCATACTGAAAACTTGGCTGTCTTTTGGGCTTTAAACCCAAGGTACTGGTGCTTAGAGTTCTTTGAGGCGCTGTAGATACTGATTGAGAATTTGTATTGTCCGACCACATCAGTTGGTCATCATACTCACCACTTGTCCTCGGACTGTCACCCAACTTTTTAGACATCTTCTCTTCCTGTGTAAAATCAATTAAATCCCGACTAGCTGGAAATTTAGGCAAATGCATGTTGGAAGGTTGATGATTTTCAGTTCTTAAAATTGGCACCATTTCATCTGCTATATCTCGGTGCTGGTCTCGTACCTTCTTCTGTTTAGCGTACTCGTCCAGCCGTTTTCTCTCTTCATTAATGTAACTATCACAGAAATTGGTTGTTCCTCCTGTTGAAATAATTTTCCTCACATCTTTCCCAATTTCAACAACCCCAAAATTTTGGTTGCTGGCTGTGGTTCTTGATGTTCTTCTATTGTAACCTCCAACAGCATCAACTGATTCTACTTGAGGTTTGAACTCTGGTATGGGTTGAATTTCACGGAACATATCTGATGAACTTGATCGTGCTGGTTTAGGAGGTCTGCTGTCATTAATTGATGGTGTTTTACAAGTGTGATCAGCTGGGGGTTTGTAGATGACTGTATTGGTGGAATCGAAAGAAGTAAAACTCTTGTAACTCTGTGTACTTGTTGAGCTACAAGTACTATTGTAATGGTTGTGGTTGATTGACAGTGGGCTGACCCCAGCTGAAAAGACTTCTGGTTCATGTTGCTCTGAAGTGTCAGTATCAGAAATTCCTGTAAATCAACAAAACAAATTAACTTTCTATATTTCTGCAGTTCAAGGTTATTTCTCACTTCCAAAACTTGCATGCCTATTAAAATCTAAATCAAAAGTTGAACTGTATAGGCCTATATAAATATTTATCTCTGGTGTTAGAAACAAGATCCTACACTGTGTCACCTGTGACTTTTAGCTATAGTACAAAAACAACATACTTTTTTAATCTACAGATTTCCACAAAAAACATCATTATTTGCTAATTATTATTGTCATCATTATTATCAATATGTTATGGTTTATTAAATGATGTAATTACACTTATAAAATATAAGTAGTTTACCATCTGAGTCTGGAGGTCCATTGACAAGAAAGGTGTTTTTTGGTGCCGTGTCCATTGAGACCGCTTGACCATTAGGATCGGCAAAGATCAGGAGGAGTGGCTGGTAGTGACCCTTGCGACAACGTTCAACGACATCACGCCAGTTAGGTCCAACCTATTATTAAGGAGTATATAGGGTATTGTAAAAAATTAAAATAATAAAAAGCTCTCTCTTTTCACAGGCCCATAACCAGCATTATACAAGGGAGAGGGGAGGGGTGTTAGAATACAATATTGTAATTATCTTACAAAAGCAATTTTGAATGTAAAGGAAAGAGGGGGGGGGGGGAATGGGCATTAAGGCTGTGTTCCATAGGTGACTGTTACAATGACTGAGTAATAAATGGAAAACAGACAGTCTAATGCCCGTATTCTTAAAACAAACTTTAGTCGAACTTCGAACTAGAACTTCATTTAGTGCTAGTTGCATATTTAACTTCAATTTGTATTCACAAACAATGTAGTCAAAGTTTTAACTACGACTAAATAAAGTCCTAGTTTTAGTTCAACTGAAGACGACTGGCAAGCCACGACTATCAAACTAACCAATGAAAAGGGCTAACTTTTATAACAGACGAAATTTTAGAGATCCGGTAACGCGGATGAATATTAACCTGCCGTCTGTGGTTCAAAAATGTATTTCCTCATAATTCATAATAGACCATCATTCCCTTCATTAATTTTCTATAATAACAACTATATTAGTTGTTAAAATATTACAATAGAGAATTTGAACAGACACTGAAAATTTGCTTTCTTTGGAGAACTATTATAGTTGAGCCCGAGCGAGGGCGGCGTCATCTTTGTTGTTGTTATTGTAAAGCTACGTGATCGCAACGCGAGGGGATTTCGTGCAAATCAGGAACTATCGCATGTGGCCAGAAAAACATGTTAATTTCTCCTTTCGGAAGCTAAACTTGGTGTCTCTTTTGTTTAACACACCGAAGATATATCAAACCTGCGTATATAATCGTTTTTATTCGTTTCACTTTATCGTGAGTTACAAAAAACACGTTTTTAGTGGGGTAAATATTTCAAGTCGGCGATTTAGCCTGACACTAGGCTGACTAAAAAATCGGCCTGCGGAGGTATCATTTTAGTTGAGGTTCACGTCATTTAGTCGTAATGCTAGTCCGTTCGTTCGTTTTAAGAATACGAAATGACGTAATTTTAAAGTTTTAGCTCAAACTACGACTAAAGTTCATTTTAAGAATACCGGGGTTAATTACTATAAGACTGACATATCAGAAGTTATGATGAATGGATGAAGTTGTAAATCTTAAACAACTTACTGTTTTTACAGTAGCATCATCAAAATATATCCACATCCTAAATCGAGTGTTGTAGAAGAAAGTTGAATAATGCTTGCCATAGTAGGTGACCACACCTACGAGGATGAAATTTGTCATTCTTGTTTTATCATCCAGTACTTTAGAGAAAATCTTTTGAAAAATAAATAGATCAAATTAGTTGAAGATTTTTACAGATAAGGCCATTCAGAAAAATGGCAATATGAAGGATTTAAAAAAAAAAATTATTTAGTAGAAGGGAGGATATATTAATTTATCCTAATTTTTCGATTAACGTACATGAAACAAATGTTTTTTGTTTTTTTATTTTGGTGTACCTTGTAGTTTCTACTTCCATAAGAATAAATATATAGATCAAATTAGTTAAAATTTTGACTGATAAGGCCATTCAGAAAAAATAGCAATATGAAAGATATTTTTTTTCAAATAATTGTTTAGTAAAAAGGGAGGATATGTGGCAAAGACAAGCCAAACCAGTCACTCGTCGCAAATCGTGTTTCAAAGAAAATAGCCAAAACATGCTGGAATGTCAAATTTTAAAAAATCTATTTTATTGCACTAAACTAACCTCTATATATCTATACATCATTCTATGCTATTATTTTCCCCATTTTCAATGTTAAAACAATACTTTTTAAGGATTTGAAGAGAGTTTCTACATGAGAAATGCCTGAAATCATAAACTTTGAATGCTGATTTCTCATATATTGTTCTTTAAACAGCTGTATGTTTAAATGTTTGTAACTTCATAAGGAAATGTCCGATTTGAATGATTTTTTACCATTTTATAGCTATTATTTTACTCTCTAACACTCTATTAATAACTCAAAAATTGATTTTTGCGATGAGTGACTGGTTTGGCTTGTCTTTGCAACATTTAATAATTTATCCTAATTTTTCGATTAACATCCATTTTTTGTGGTGTCCCTAGTTGGATGTTGGGGACTTGACTTTACTGGGGCATTAAATTGACATTTTATAACAGGCACTTTGCTCACCTATGCTTTAAGCTATGCTGCCCTCTATCATGTAATATTAAGGACCAATATGCAAATGTACTTACATCTTTAAGCAATAATGTGGTTCCAAGGCACTTGATCACATCCATGATATGGTCTACACTTGGTCTATCCGTATCCCATACAAGACCAATACTTACTGTAACATTAAATGAATACTAATCAATAAACAAGTATAGTATTAGATATTAAATACATAATGTTTCTACCACTACATGAGAGTTGTTACAACAGAGATATTGACAATAATTATGAAAATGATATTTTAACAATAATATTAGCATCTTGAATTCACCTGAGATTAATATTCTTATTCATGATCACAATAAAAATGATACAAATATTATTACTCACCAACTTCCGGACTATTTGTTACTATTCGTTGTATTTGAATTTTCTTTCCACAGTTACTCTGTAAAAGTAAAATTACTTATTTATAAGGGAGTTATATCTATAAACATCTAAAAAAAA